TGTAATTATAAAAACAGTTCTTCTGGGAGGGTATTTCTGCCAAGGAGACGGCACACACCTAGAACATTCTGGTTATTCATCCGTAGTACGGCACAGTAGGTCAGATAATTAGGTTTGATTCAGTTACATTAAAACATGTGCAAATTAGTTTTTACCTTTCTTTTATAAATTAACTTAATGTCTGCAAGTAGCTTTTATTTTCATAATTAGAATAATCAGGCAGTAGTACAGACCTAGCTCAGCAGCAAAAGCCAGTGAAACTTTATACAAGGATTAAACTAGATAGTGTCACATGATACTGAGGGGAAAAGAATAAAGGCATTGATAAGGATGTGTAACTTGTGGCTCATGATGCCATACATTTTGTTCTGGAAAAAAAATTAATTTTCCAGCAGTTCAATGGAAATATATACAGCTCAACTAAAATAATGCTTTTTGTTGGATGAAAGTGATTACACTGAACAGTTGTGGTTTCAATACAGTCTCAATACACTTGGAACTTGCTGTTGACTAAGTAATGAGTGTATGTGTATGTGTATATATATAAATAAGCATACTGTCCTGCTTTTGGTGAGTGCTCCTTCCTGTTCCTGTTACATTACATTCAGAGGTGAAGGAAAATACTTCAATACAGAGAAGCTGCTCTTTTTACAGCATTGAGAATACCAGGTTTTACTTCTTTATATCCACGATTTAAGAAGGGAAACCTCTAGCTGGAGAGATGGGAAGTATTTGGGAGTGATTTTTGTTAATAAAGTTTGAGTCTGTATTAGTAAAAACAGGGCTGGTGCAGGCCTGGAAGACAGGCTGGCCGCAGTTATTTTTGGCCCTGCACTCAGCTCTTCTGCTCTGCGACCCGGTACAGCTGGAATTGGGTCAGCAACACTGGCTGGAGCCCAGACCAGTGACAGCACAGCTGCCTCTGACCACTGGTGCCTCTGTGGCATCAGCTGCTCTGCCACTGCTCCAGCTGACAATGCTGCTAGATTTTATCATGTTTATAGCCTAATTAAACAATTGTGTACGCCTGAGCTCTAGTCATTGCACGCATGCCAAAGCACTGTTTTTCAGTGCAGAAGTATTGTCTTCGCGGTGCCTTTATTTTTTAGAAGGATGCATGATGTTTTGAAAGAAAAAAATGCATATCCTGGATTGGGCAATGGGGTGACACTTTTTGTCCAAGGTAAGAGAACAACTGGAAGTAGTCAGAATACAGAATCACAGAATCAATTAGGATGGAAAAGACCTAAACACTCCTGAGATCATTGACTCCAGCCTAAGACCTATGTGATTAAATTTGGTATTCTTTCTCTTTTACCATGGTCAGAACAAGTTACTGAGTGATACCTTAAGCCAGTTACAGATATTGATTCCTATACTCTCAGAATTTCACTGATATGAAGATATTCCAAATAAAAGACATTTATTTGAAAACAAGCCTTCATTGAATTGCAGAACAAGACAATATCTTTGTATTTGTGTCACTCTAACACTTGTAATAGACATCCACTTTGTGACTGCTCCACTCTTCTAAACGCGGCTGGAGTTTGGAGAACAAGTTACAAGAATATGGAAACAGGAACAATAACAGTAACAGTTGTGTGTAACAATACACACAACTGGAGATTTGAACTCTGTGCTACTGGTAACACCATTAACTCTACTGAAAAAGGAAGGTAATATTTTTAGCTGTTAAAATGAGTACTTCATAATTTCTTTAAGCAGTGTTTTATATTTGGAGAATAAGTGCTCTATACCTGTTCTGAAATTCATAAATTGATGGCGGTAGTGGTGCATTCAGCAGCATCTATCCCCTAACTTATTAACTGTAGGTTTCATAGATGTTCCAAGTTGTAACTAAGAGTTACTTCTCTGAAGTTTAGGAACTGTTAGAAATGTAATTAAACTATACATGAATAATAATGTATGGATTCAACAGAAGTGGACCCTTGCAGCTGACAAATAAGTGACATGCTGACTTTTCTTTAAATTACTGAAAGCCTTGTTCCTGGTTCTGCTATAGACTAGCTCTGTAACCTTTCTCTAGTGCTTGTCACATCACAGCTGAAAGCTAAAACACACTGTGGCAAACACCATTTTTAAAATCTGTGTATGATGAAGCAGTATTTGTTCTACAGCTGTTAATACCCTTTTTCATGAAAAAGGAAGTGCAGTATTTCAGTTGCAAAATGAAACACATTTTGTCAGAGCTAGATTCAATTAGAAAGTCTCTTTAATGCAACTATTGTATAACACATAGTTACAATTGCAGATCACATACTTCTGATCAGTAAGCAGTAATAAGTGTTAAGTCAGACAGGAATCTGAAATACATCACTGGACTGGGATCTTAAATGCTATTAAAGTTACAATCAAAGCTCATCTTGGCTCATCTTGTCCAATATGCTTGTATTAAGGTAGTCAGACTCCTGTTAAAAGTTTAAAAACTCACATTTAATTGAAATTTAGACTAAAAAGAAGACATTAGGTACATCATTCATGCTAACAAATGTACATAGTGGTGAGTCAAGAACAGAAAAACAGTACCACAAATAAACCATGGCTCAAAACCTACTCTAGCTGGATCGCTGCAGCCACTCTTCCTATACTCAGGAGCTGTGTATGCGTTGCTGCCATGCTCTGCTTTTGTTGGACTTGGCCCTTTCCTTGAGAGGTAGGCACCAGTGCCAATGGCTTTCAAGGAAGGCCTGAACTCCTCTCCATTTACCGCTAGGATGTGGGAAACTTATTGGTGGGGGGCAGGGGTAACAATGCAAAATGAAAATCATTTGGCTGGGGAAAAAAAAAAAATCTCAGAATCCAGAGAACTTTATTGAGTAAGATAGATACAAAGGTGATATAGACAACCCAGAAATAGCTCAGTAGCAATGTTTTTTGCAGTGCCACATTACAAATAAAGCACACTAAGAAACCTTGCTGAGCTTTTTCAGCTTTTTGAGTGTTAATGGCAAGAGGTGGATGGCAGCTTCACTCTGGAAATGTGAAATCAGATTTGAATTCTGAGTAATTCAAATCAATCTAGAAGATATTTTTGTTAAATCTTCAAGCTGCTATTTCTACTGTTGTACTGATCTTCAGCATCAGTGATTTTACTGTGTTACGCTATATCCACACCACCAAACTCCAGCCACTTCTTCCCTGGGAAGTCCCTTTTCCAATCACTTGCTTAAAAGCAAAAACTAAAAACAAAACAAAACAAAACAAAAAAAACCCAACAAAATAACAAAAAAAAAAATCCCAAAAACCCATTCCTTGTATTGCACATCTCACACAAGTCTGTGTATATATATATATATATATATTTAAATATGCTACAATTAAAAAAAAGGTCTATGGCACTTTATTGAATATAAGTTTAAGAAGTTGATGAAACCACAGATGTTTGAAGAAATCTTCAATACCACAAAACAAAGTTAAACTGAACCAATTGGCACACAGGTTTTAAAGAATCCACAGCAAATTCCTCTAGATCCTATGCAGTGCATGTACATTAAGAAGCAGTTACACTCTACAGCCTGCTCATGAAATCAGTTAAATTAGCTTTAAGCTGATTTTGCTTTTTTTCTTTCCCAAAGTGCCTTTAAAAGCTACTGCTGAGGTGAACTTCAGGAGCAATTTAAACAGCTGTGAAATTTAATGAGTGCACCCTGCACCTGAAAACCTCATCCAGGAAAAAAAAAAAGCCATATATACCACCTTATCACTTGCTAGAAAAACAGAACCCTGAGAAAAGAAATTCTGATTATTTCTCCTCTGTATTTCTTCCTAGCCTGTCTTCTGTCTGTACTATGTGATGAACATGGATATTCTTGCAAGTTAATTATGTTAATTATGCTGTTGCAGAGCAAGCTGATAATATACCAGCAACAAGCAGAAAAGCTGTTCTTCTTGGTTACGAATGCAAACAAAAGCAAAATGTGCCACTGAAAATCTCTTTAATACTTAAAAAACCAAACCCAAACAAAACGTACTATTGAAATTTTTTTAAGCATCATGTGGATCACAGCAAGAATGAAGGTTGTTTGTTGTTTACTTCTCAACCAGAGCAGAGTATACTCTCTCGACCTTTGTAAAGACTAACCTGACCTGATTCTGGCTAATCAAGTGCTTAAGCCAGTGCAGCATTTTTCACCCTAATACTGTGTCAAGACTTGTTGGCAGTGGTGACCTAGACTTTGGATTGCTACCCACCTAAGGAAGCTAAAACCATACATCTGCTTAGTAATTAATTTTTAGCTGGTTTATATGGTACTCATACAACTGCTTACCCCCTCCTTTCCAACTGCAGGGCCCCCGAGGGCAGAGCAGAGCTGGTGGCCCAGGTTCAGTGCATGCTCCAGAAGGGGCTCAGGAGGGATGCCTGGAGGAAGGCTTGCTGGACCCCAGACACAAGCCCAGTGCATGTCCTTCAGGTGTGGGGGAAGTGTATGGGCCAAAGCCAACGAGGCACACAGGTGTGGACAGGGTGTGTGGGCTCTGATTTTCACCCTCAGGCACCACTTTGTGCTGGTGATTTTGCTTTATTAAAATCTTGACTTGTGCAGGCAGTTGCTCCCAGACAATAACTTTTGGAGAGGATTTAAATTCAATAGTTAAAAGAACATGAGTTCCCTGTTTGTGGGTACCCAGGGCAAGGGGAATATCCCCCTGTCTGCCCTGGGGTGCTCTGACTCCCAGGAAAACACTGACCTTGACCCTCATTCATGGAGAAAACTTCCGAAGCCTCAAGGTAAACTAGAAACCACAAAAGTGTGAAATAGATTGTAGAGAGTAGTGTAGTATATCAGATGGGTGAGAAATTTAGGTTTTAGGATTTTTAGTATGTTATAGATGGGTTCAAGATGGAGTATATAGGGTGTTGTCTTGGGTTCCTTTCTTCTCTTCTTCCTCTTTCTTCTTGGATTTAGGTGGTATCTTGTAATTGGGTAGAAAAAATCTGCATTGTGGGTCTTTAGGGGTGAGTTATTGGGTTAGAAAGGAAAATAATTTAGGTGTTTCTTCTTAATTGGGTAATTTAGTTTTTGATTAGACTTAAAAAGACCTTGCAGCATGAGGTTGTTGGCCATTTTTGTGCTGTTTGCACACATGCAAAGTCTGGGCACAGACAGTGTGCTGAAGTTTTGATAACAATAAACAGAAGCTAAAGACCAAGAAAGTCCAATGTGTCTCTTGTTCCTGACACAGAACTGCTCCAGGAGGGTCTCCCCCGCCAGGGGAGCCCCCAGGGAGTTGCCCAACTTGGGACCCACAAACTCACACCTGCTTTGAAGTAGAAGGTGGTGGATGTGGGTTGAAGGAGCAGGTGAATGCAAGAAGAGGCCAGGTTAAAACAATCCCTTTTTGAACACAGTCAGAAGTTGGCCTTGCTGCACTGCGTCTCAGAGGTCACCTGTGTGTCTGTGCAGCGCACAGGCTGCAGGTGCCACAGGCACAGAGGCACGGGCTGGAGCTGCCCTGTGGCTGGTGGGCAGCAGGGGCAGGAAGGGGAGCCCAGCCCCGTGACTGTTCGCTGATCCTCCAGCTGCGCCGGGGCTGCTGAACAGCTCCTGTCCTGTGAGGCACGTCAGCAGTGCCGTGAAAGCAGCTACCTACCTGGACAGTAACAACAGCTTTTTAATAACTAATGGCACATTTTAAGGGACTGACCAGGCAAAACCAAGAATCTCTGCTCTGTGTAATAGTGAAGCAACACTGTCACTAGATGATGTTAAACTATCAAGAAGTAAGAAAAGGAATCTAAAATTCACCTAGTATTTAATTAGAACTATTCAAATCAGTTATCCCCAATGCTCCTATGGCACAGTTGCATCATTCTTTTGTTTGTTAAAATACCTTACAAACTTGGAATCAGAAGTAGTTCTAGTAAGTGAGGCAACACCACAAATAACAAAACGAGCTGGCTTTGAGAAAAAAATGGCATTTGTGGCAAGGCCTGTTTAATTACTGCCGATGTAGTTGGAAAAAGCTCTGCTACTACACACACACAAAAAAAAAAAAAAAAAAAGGAAAAGAAATCTTCCCAGCCACATAGAATTTGTAAAGACTTCCTGAAAAATTTAAATTTCCTAAAGACTCGTGTGCATCTGGGTCATGATACAGACTGATCTGTAGACTGGGAATGACATTTCACTGACGAGAGAAAAAGTACAATGTGGAATCCACAGTTGTAGTAGAGGCTGCAGCCCAGATAAGGCTGGTGCTGTGGGGAGCTGTTATCTGCTTGAGATTTCAGAAACTTTACTAAAGTCTGTAGAAATATTTCAGTTTTATCTGAATCAGGAAAGCCAGTCTAACAACAACTTCTCTGTCTAGTCAGTGGAAAAAATATTTACCTGCTAAGTAATAAGTTGCCACACCTTTGAGTTTCAAGAGAGAGAAATCTGTCAAGGACTTGAGTTTCTAAATGCCTTAAGATTGGTGTAAATGTCAGCTTTGCTGTCTCCAACATAGAGTTAATATCCAAGAAGGCACTGTACTTCAAGGAAGTTCAGTACCAGAAAGCACCTCCATGAAAATGGTACCAAACCAGGTGATGGTGAAGAAATATTCACCAGTGAGGGGAGCCCTTTGAAACAAAGCCTCATTAAAATAGGCTTCTCTTTTGCTTAAAAAGAAAGAAATGTGCTGGCTTGTATTATTTTAAACCCAAACTCTTCAGAGTGACCAAGGTGGGCTAGGCAATCCAATCAATCAGAATTTTTCAGTTTTAACAACATTCCTGCTATATACATGTGATTACTCACATCCCCAGTTGGATTAATATACTCCACTGTTTTCTGATAACAGAATGAAACTAAAAATATCCCCAAGTATTTACATTCTGCTTTCTCGGGATCCTTTCTCTGATCCTCATTGCCCAGCAAAGAAGAAAGACCCTTTCAGTAGTTCAGGGCTGGAATGCATGGGGCTCAATCACACAAATGGTAAAAACAGGTAAATGGATCTGCTTGCCCAGTCAATGGAAAGCAGATAACGATCCAGGTGCTGGTATTTTTCTCCACTGGAGTTAAAGGAGGCAGATAAGGTTTTTTCCTTCTTCTATTTCTTCTTGCACTTTGTCACTGGATGTGGCTATTTCAGCTTGCGCCGAGAAGACCGCACAGATGAATGTCAGAACAGTGCCGCCGATAGCTGTGTAGAAAGCCCAGCCCAAGGAGCAGTCTCCTAGTTTGTAAGCAGAAGCATAAGGTCCACAATAGCTTATCGCCTTCTGGCATCCCCAACCTGCAGGGTAAAGTATCAAGCCTAAGATAAGGAAGAGCCCTAGAAATAAAAACAGAAAGAAGGTTTACAAACAATCAGTCTAACACCAAATGCAGCACATCTAGTAATTGTTATTATGGTCACTAATACTCATGATTTACCATGATCAGGAGAAAACTGCCATCTCATCCATCCAATTGTCCTTTACTGATTGTTCTCTAGTATATGCCATGTAGTCTTTCAACTGAATTTGAAGCTATGGTGTGATTTATGTTGTGAAAGGCTTACTTTTTATGATAATGACCTAATTCCTTATTTTAATCTCTGTACCCCTCCTACATCCTTTCCTCTCACATGATTGCTACAAATACAGAGCATGAAAAATATTCAAGCATCTCCACCTACTACTTATGCTTGCACTTCTCAAAAGTGTAGGAATACTTGCATCCACTTTTGATTTTGTATTTAGCTAGCCCTCATTTAGCTTTATTTAGCCATTCACCATAAATGTGTTTGCCTAATTTCCTCTGGATTTTATCTACATTGATTTTCTTGCCTGGAAAAAACAAACAAAAACCAACCCACCCCAAAACAGAACAAAATACAAAAA